AGGGTTTTGTATGCTCGAATATTGCAAAACCGAGAGCTCACGGCGCCGGCAGATTTGGAAAAGCCACACAAAACGCGTTCGGAACGCGAGCGCACTCGGTTTCAATTACTAACGGCTCCAAGTCATTAGTAAACGGCGGCTGTTATGTTCATTAGGGGTTTACAAACGGCTTATGCAGACTTGGTAAACGGGAATGTAACCGTCGTCGTCAGGTTGATGGATTACGTACTGTGTAATAGTTTATAGGGATTCTATGTGCTGTACAATTTAATGATATACAGGGAAAGAGTGAACAAGATAATATTATTATACCTAATTAGATATGGACTATAATCTATTTAGAATCATTCAAAATAGTTTAAACCCAATTAAAATGGTTGTTTTTGATTTATTTAAGTATTATATCTTCTATCTTATTATTAGTAGTTGAAACTGAGGTTACCTTTCACCGTTTAGATGCAACTCACAGACATGATATTGAAAGGCGATATAAAAATCTTATATCAAGTTGTGTTTATGGAATACAGAGAATCACAAGAATCAGAACTTTTGAGTTTATGACCACAAAGTTATCACATCTATCTGGTTTTGGAAGAAAATATTTGTTTCAAAGTAGCACGGCTTAACCGAGAAGGATTTTATGTTTCATTTCAAATACAAAATCTGCACAAATAATAACCAATAGAATATTTCATGTAGGAGAAACTTCATAAAAGAATTATCTTGGATTGACCTATTTTGGATAGTTCCTTTAAATTAGGTTAATTAAGTAAAAATCTTGAATGTTAACATACATTTAGGACAAAACTAACAGCATCGTATTAAAAGATCTTTTGTAATACCTCAACACAAGTGTTATCAATTTTTGCGTTCTCCCTAACTCCAGTAAATGACCAAAAGCTGCTTTTAGTACATTAATTCTACACGTTCGCTATTGTGACGTTCATTATCACAGCGGCGACAACAAAATGAGCTACAATGTCCAATGTTTAACGACCGTACTACATTAAGTCCCCTATCTCTATCTCTCTCCGTCTCCCTATCCACGTAGTACAAAAAGAGGCGGGCGTGTTAAAATGCAAATGTGATTGTAGAGAAAGCTAGCTTTGAAAAGGATTACCGTCGGTAAACGGGGGCGAGAGTGTAAAGGGGATGTAAAGCGGCCGAATAACAGAGTTTTACTCGAGATTTACGACTCATCGAGAAGACGGATTAACTCTTATTTGATTACCATATAAAACGAATCAATCAAACTCTTCTATTTTTAGTCTCGGAGAATTTTCATGAAAATATAAATTCTGTTCTACGTAAAAATTAAACTTCAATTTTGCTAATTGATAACTTAAGTAGCAACTCTTACATAGATTACACAAATAACAAAGACGTGATTCTCCACATCGTAACGCTAAGACAATTGCACGTATAAACAGCTTTTGAGATGGTTTATTTGGATTTTAAGTGAAGCGTGGGTGTTGAAAATACAAGCAACCTTTTTATAAATATACAATATACGATAAAAGGTACAACAAAAACTACAAAAGAAATTCTTGTAAATTGTGTAAGCCATAATATTCACAACTTCACTATGTTACTAAATCTGTTAAAAAAACATACAAAAACAAAAATAAATAAAACCCGTAAAATTTCTAATTAGTGTTTGAAAACTAATTGAATAGACTCCAAACTGTAGCTAGTAACGAAATTCATGAATTCGGAGTTAAAACTAATTACAATTTCACCAACTTGGTAAATTAATTGCTGAGTTTGCCCAACAAATTTGCCGATTCGAGTCAACATAAAAAAAATTGTATTGTATGATTATCGAGAAGATTCATTCAAAAAAATGTTAGAAAAGTTAACAAAGTTATGGAAAAAAAGTTTTTAAAACGCCTAAATATAGACAACCAATATCACAATAAATTTTAATTACAAACTAATCAAAATTAAACACCAACATAAATCAATTAAATAAATTTTACTTAAATTAATATCGCAATATATTTTTAGTAATTTAATAATTTCGTAATAAGCTGTGATGTGATGAATTCAATTAAATCATTCAGGTAGATTTTCTACTTTCACGTTTGTACGTGTATGTATACATGAACAAATCCCATCGAAAATATGCAGCTAGCTTTCAATAGAACGTAATGAAGACCATTATTCAAAGCTAGATGAAAGTACGACATAAACCCATAAGCCCTTTAGTTGAATACTAAATGAATCATAATCCAACTGAATTAATATTCACTAATTGAACGTGCATCACGTTTCTCATTCTGCTGTGTTACACTATCAAATATCAATTAGTTTGACTACATTCAATTTCCTCTCGCAATATTAATTCATTATTTTTCAATAATGTTATAACTTTTAAGGCTTTCAATAAATTCCAATGAAATTAGTATATTAAAAACACCAAAGGCTGTAAGTATCTTGGAAAGAGCTAACCAGATAATTAAATGCTGTTCTATGGAGCCAACAAGTAACCAAATACATAAGAGGGTAGTGGAAAGTATAGGCAGATACGGATCCGAACTAAGCCCAACCTTATTCATAACATATATTGATGAGATAATAAAGAAGTGCAAAATGTCGAAGTTCTAGAAGGAGCATTCGCGGATGACGTGGTTATTATAGCTAGAAATGAAAAAGAACTACAGTCTAAATAAATGGAATGAGATTTCAAAGGATTTTGGAATACAGATGAACAAGTAGAAAACTAAAGGGAATAAAGTAGATTGCAGGATGTAAAGATGTAATATATGAGAAGAGTAAAATAAGGAAAGAGTAAAATATTGAGGCTCAGGACGATTTTATACAAAAAAAGGCAGCTGAGTTGGTGGGCACATCTACAGAGGATGCATGAGACTAGATAGGTGAAACGGTTGGCAAGAAAGCAGAGAAGTGGAAAGAGAGGAAGACCACGAAACATTTGGGGTAAGGCAATAAACAAGATAATCACTAAAACAGGAAAACTATACAGAAAGACAAATGTTTAGCAAGAGATAAAAAATGTGGGCAATATTCGTGAACGGCTAAAGATCGCCAAAAAACATTTAATTGTACGTAAAAGATACACTCACGGCTAAACATATATAACGAAATGTTATAAAAAAAGTTGCTCCACACTTCATCTATTATCTACCATATTCTAGAAATCAATTGAGCATCAAATGTGTTAGATAAAGCAAATACATTCAAAAATTTTAATGGAATGTGCCCAATTTTATTACGTATTATAAAACTATATAGATTTATGCGGGTTGTCATTTATTATTTGCAAGACCATTGCAGAATTTTCATCATTTCGAACTCGTTTTTCTCTCTATCTATATCTTCAAGACTAATAAGTTTTTCAAATCAATGTTAATTAGGAAAGTTACACAGTTTTCGATGTTGTATCACATGCACCTAAAAGTGTGTGAAAAGAAGGTATTTTTTGACTTGAAAAATAATAATACTTAAAAACTGACTCTCAAATAACAACTAGTTACAAAACTAAAATTTCGCAGCCCATTCCAGAGATAATTCGCCTAGGAGTTTTAAGTGAAACACCCTGTACATATACGAGGTGTGTAAGTTAAAGTTAAAATTAAGTAATGAGACTAGTAACGTAGCGTTCGATCTGACTACACTTGGGACTCGCCTTCAGTACGAGTTTGAACTTCATTTGCTAAAGTCATTTGGTTATCCGTAGCGAGTTTTTTCCTGAAACAGTTTTTTAACGGTGTGCTATCAGGTTTTGATTCAGATTTGGGCACAGTGCAACGGATATTTTTGCAAAACTTCTGCCTACGGAGACAGTGCTTTGTCAAGGGCCCGGGTTTTTCGGTGGTTTAAGGCATTTTCAAAAGGAAGAGGGTTGATTGAAGATGAACATGAAAATGTCGACAGAATCCGGGATCTTGTGCATTCATTAGATTTTGACCAATAAATTGGGATGAGAAAAATTGTTCTAAAAACCCTTTTGCAAGACCAAAAGGACACAGGTGGGAAAGATGCCTTGACTTTTTGGAATCCATAGAAAATAACCCCCATTTTCTGGCACGTGTCATTACTGGAGACGAGTCTTGGATGTTTGAGTACAACCCGGAAACCAAGCGCCAGAGCATGGAGTGGCACACTCCAAACTTTCCAAGGCACAAAAAAAGCAAAAATGAGCAAGTCGAAGATGTATGCTGATTTGCTTTTTCGATATCCAAGGAATCGTCCACAAACAGTTTGTGCCTCAAGACCAAACGGTCAATCAACACTTTTACCGAGAGGATTTTGAAAAACTTCGAAAACGGGTCATTCGTGTGAGACCAAACATCAAAAACAATTGGGTGTTGCATCACGATAACGCGCCTTATCAGCAATTTCAATAAAAGAGTTTTTAGGCAGTAAAACCATTCCTGTGGCTCCTTAGCCTCCTTATTCGCCTGACTTGAATGCTAGTGACTTTTTCCTCTTCCAGATATTGAAGAATCACCTCAACTCAAGGGAACTCATTTTGAGGCATTAGAAAACAATCAAACGGCTGTAACCGACCAGCTGAAGGCTATTTCAGTATCACTGCTATGAGGATTTGGAAGAACCGCCTCCAGCGCTGTGTGGCTTCAGAAGGAAGTTATTTGAGGGAGACAATATTGAATTGTAAATCTATTCAAATAAAAAAATTACACTTTAAAACTCCTTTGCATGAATTTAGTAACATCCCGTATATAATAAAAGAAAATTTTTTTAGGAATCAATTTTAATAATTCTTGTTCTCATCAATAAGAAGATGAAAAAGAAACTGTTACATAATCAGCTCTAATCTGTAACCAAATTAAGATCGAAATTGATATAGAATTCGTGAAATGTGATATCGATTAGATGCGAATTTTGATTATCGACTTCGAATTATGATCCGCATTAAGGGTACCGCTCCAAACTTATTGAATTGAGATACGTTTTATGAACATCAATTTCGAAATTAATGCAATTTAGTACGTCCTTAATCTAAATCTCGATAAAATTGTTAAATTTGCAACGAAATTGTTGCCTTCGATTCCACTCGTTAACATATTGCCCCTAGAATATGCAAAACATCACCTTTTCCTTTTGTTTTTTACATTAACTTACTTGCACAATTGTGACTTTTCAATTTAGTTGTTTGCGTAAATTCAATAAATTCGCCGGTTTTCTTGCCAAACATAAAACCAAGAAATCGACTAAAATGGATAACCCACGTAAGCTAAGAACTATAATATAATTACTTTTTATAATGTTATTTATGATTATTCTTTTTAAGATCTTGAAATATTTACTTGGTTTCCTTTTAATTCTTGGAAACCTCCAGCGATCGTTTTATTCTTATACATTTGGTTTGTTTTGAAAGCTGGGCCGCATTTTATGAGAAATCGAAAACCGTTTGATCTACAAAGAGTTATTATGATATATAACTTGTCATTAGTTTTATTGAATTTATGTAACGTATTTATGGTAAGACTTTGATAATTATTATTTTTAAAAATAAATTGTATTAATTATTTTAGGGGTACAAAATTTTAAGCACATTTAGCTTAAAATGCCAACCAACTGACTTTTCTAATAGCCCCACCGCACGTTTAGTAAATATAAAAATAGATTTAATAGATATACAGGGATTTTTAAATAATAGATAAATATAAATTGTGTCAATTAGCTTTTTGATTTTACTTGTAGAGTATAAAACTATAATTTAGGAAACCCTGTATTAATAATTTACTTCTATAACATAATAACTATGTTTTAGACATGGAAGATGAGTTGGCTTGTTTACTGCTTGAAATATATTGATCTCCTTGACACTGTATATAATTCTATATATTTTCATAATTACTTATTAATTTAATTTTTTTTAAGATATTTTTTATACTAAGGAAGAAAAACAATCAAGTAACACCTTTCCACGTTTTTCACCATTTTATAGCTCCAATTTATACTGGCATAATCATTTATAATCAACCAGGTATTCATTTATACATTTGTATTTTAAAAATGTTATTGTTAATGTTTTATTTTAGGTGGACAAAGCATGATGATAGGATTTTTAAATTCAGTCGTCCACGCTTTAATGTACTTTTATTATTTCCTTGCTGGTTTAGGAGCACAATATCAAAAATATTTATGGTGGAAAAAATACTTAACGCAAATTCAAATCGTAATTTAATCGCATATTTTGAACTGGAATAATTTGTTATAATGCTTATGATTTTTTTAGGTTCAATTTGTTATTATATTTGTGCATTCAGCTCAATTACATTTTATAGAATGTAATTACCCAATGTGGTTGGTAAATCTCAACATGGCGGTTTCTATAACGTTCTTATATCTCTTCGGTAAATTTTATTATAAAACTTATATAAGAAGTAATCTCAAAGAATTACGCTAACAAAGATGGTTTTTAAACAAAAGCTGTTTTAAATAAAATACTTTCTAAACATATTTTTTATTTGTATACCAGAAGATTTTTTTGAAAATCATTTCTTGTATTTTTTCGATTAAATCTAAACATAAACGTGTTTTGTTGCAAGGTCGTATCTTATCAATGTGGCAATAATTTCTGAGGTCTTTTAAAGCAAACAAAGTTTTTTTTGTCACGTCCAGATTTCAGATACCATTATTATCCTTTATAATGCTTAACAAGTTATTTAATTAACAACATTTAAAAATTGTATGACGCCGAAATCGTAACCAAAAACAATTTAAAAAAATTACATTTTAAACCAGATTCAAGATACCATTATTAATTACTTTTTACAACGGCGAGGGCCGGTTTTGCAGACTGGTATAAGTAGTTCTTGGTGTAACTCCAAAAGTTAATTCTCTTTAGTTAAAAGTTCGAGAACTTTGCTCAACTATAAAACAAGTTGCGATAAAGTTTGTTATAAGCAATAAACGTTTTCACGAAGCTTTTCTGATTTTGTAAATTATCGGCTTTGAAAAAAGAAACCGTAATAAAATGAAAACATTAACTCATTATGAAGGGTCCAGTAAAGTCAAGTCATTGTAATTTTTCATTTATGAATAATCATCATAGGAGACTAACAAAAACATGCGCAACCACATGGCATAATGAAGGTTTTGCATTTGAAAAATAAGCTTGGAAATTTAAATGTTAAAAGAATAATAGTGATAACGTTGCGTGGTTTACTTCAATCTTCTATGATAGTTTTCTAGAAAAAATTGCAAAAGAGGTGACAACCTCAAAATTTGTACAGAAACTGGCAACTTTTGAAGCAAAAGAACTAAGCCTCAAACGTTACGAACAATTTTTGGTGACGAAAACAAACTTTACCGCAACATTTCTGTAGAGAAAACAACAAACATTCAAAATAAACACATTACAGAACTGATAAAGAACTTCACACTTGCAATGAAACTGATACAGAGTTTGGAAATGAAAGGGCTAAAAGAAATGTAGGTAAAAGATGATTCAAATTAATGTAATAGTGAATAATGAAAAGTGCATTTGAGATGTATTAACCGTTTGGGTACTAAAAAAAGGTTTTGAAAAACCACTGTCGAAAAATCTCGAATAGCGCCACCGAGCTTTTCTCTAAATGTGTGCGAAAAGATCCAAATACAGTTGAAAGTCAGTTGACCATAGTGTTCGAAATGTACTGGGATTTTTTGACATAAAATATTTGACAGTTATACAATAGCTGATAAAATTAAAAGAAGGAAATTTATGCATTAAGAAGTGTTGAAGGCAATTAAGTACGCTGACATGAAAGAAAAGAAATGAAAGTATAAATATAATTGCAAAGAGGTAGCTGGAAAACTCGAGACTATAATAAAGAGACTTACAATTAGACGTGAAATATCCAAGTCAATAACATGTCTTGGAGAAAAGAGCATGTTGAATCTGCGTTAAAGCTATGGAAAATTAATTGTAAGATTATTATGGCAAAGTTGGCACAGAATGCCAGGTCGAGGTTCTGACTATTTTCAGCAAAATTTTTAAAAAATCGCTCAAGAACAATAAAAGATACGTTGCTATAATGTGTGTCTGTATGTAAGAAATTTCCGCGAGTAAAGTTAAATATCCAAAATTCTTAGAAGGTACTATTATGTGGATGTCAACAGGCCAAGTTAAAGTCGATAACACCAATACATAGCAGCAGATCAATTTCTTTAATAAATAAATCATTACCTATCGTATCCAGGTTATGATTTCAATGACCACCCGTAAATTAAAAGGGACCAAGGTTCATTTCAATTCAGAAGACTACAGGGTTACTGTTGGATGAAGGAGAAAGTATATATCAAGATTTTCGTTCAATCGGAAAAGATAGTGCGTTCCAGACAATACGTCGCGCCTTTATTTTACCTACATAAAGAAATAAAGTCGCGACGTCCTATCTAGAACACACACCAGCACTATCTTTTCCGATTGGATAGAACCCCCCTCTCCCCGCATACCTTATTACTGTTTCTTTTTAATTGATAATTCACGTAAATCATTCTAAAAAAAAATTAGAGAGACATAACTTTAAAAACCTGATAACGAGATTCGACACTCAATGGTTTTCGACAAAACCGCATCGAAAAAATAAAATATATCCCTCGTTAAGAATACATCATTTTAACACATGTTCAAATTTGAAATTTTTTCTTTTGACAGTTTTTGAGAAAAAAACTGCAAAATGGTCAAAGTTGCCCGCATCCTCAAAAATCGGGTACTTGAATGTACTACGAGGAATAGAGAACAAATGGAAAATGTAATGGCAAACATCCATTAGTGGATAAGCATTGCAAAAAGAAAAAGAGATATAGACTCATATCTTTTTCATGATTCGATATGTGTTGAGATAAAGTATCGTTTCCGGTTGACGAATTTAACTTAAAAGTTAATATAGATCTACCATTCTAATATAATAGCATTACTCCAAGATTACTTATAGCAAGCATATTTGAAATAGTGCCCAGAAAATCTAAAATTAGTTTGAAGCTAATTCAATAGCATAATAAAGTCAATAGCACTGGGAATTTCCTTAAAAATCTTCTATATCATTCTATATTAAAATGTCATTGCATTAACAAACACTGCGAACCAAAATTTTAAATACGCAACATGTTGCGTGTTACGGGTTGTTATAGGCATGAATACAATTAGAACATTAAATAGAACTCAGACATTATTGTGAATTATTACATTTGGAAATTGAAAGTTGCTGTTTCTAATTTTTTAGAACACGATGAACATATTAGTATCTGTGTTTCTTTCAAACAATATGAACTGATGGCAGCATTGAGCTAATTGTAAATACCAGGTTGAATACCAGAACATCATGCACGTGTAAATGTTGCATACTTTTACAAATACATTGTGCGAGGTGATCCGGATTTATGATCAGCTATTTTATCAAACATGCAACCATATGATTTGTTTAATGAATTTCAAAGGATTAATTTACTATGAAGAATTAATCATCAGATCTAAATTGGCATGCGTCATCAAATTTATTGAACCGTACATAATTAATTCTATAGACGCCATAGACGGAATACATAAAGGACGAATTTATATCCTCGGATGGTCATAAGGAAAATCAAAAAAGATGTACACCAAGAAAAAAGTGTTCTAGAAAATTAATACCAGATATACAACAAATACAGGGACAAAAAAGGAGAAAATAGAGAGGCAATGATTGATGATGTCATATAGATATAACTTACCAGACATATGTGCTATACCGAATTAAATAAAATTGTTGAAAATTTTGTGGAGAAACCCGTGAGACAGTTGAAGTAGGTGGTTTAATAAACGAATTGGATAAAAAACAACTAACGAAGATAGTGAGAAGAGTGTTCTCTGGGAAAATGTATCGAGCTATTTGAAAAATATGACGAAAAGGTTCTGCATAGAACGTTAGCAAGAACATCAAATTTGTGAAAATGATGAGATGAAACATATTAGAAACTGCAATTAAGCAGCCATATTTGATAATCCGACCAGTTTGATAATTCATGGTATCAATGAGCTCCGATGAGTTATCTGTTTAATCTTTCTATTTTATGCAATACTATTCTATTCTAATTCTAGCCAGTAGAATTAAAACTTAATTTAATTTGAAAATTGCTAATTTGTATGAATACAAAATAAGAAAAAATTTGCTGATGGTTGATGGGTTTTAATTGGACACTTGCATCACTTGACTAAGGGCCGGTTGTACAATATACCGATAAACTTCCCGACAGCGTTATCTGGCAGATAAGTTAGTTTGTACTGTATTACAATGTACGGATATTTTTGTCGGTGAGATTATCGGCAGGATAACTTATCGGGTACTCAGCGGTGCCGATAAGACATTTATCCCCCAGATATTTATGGTTACCAAGGTTTTTATATAAAAACTTTTTATGGTTACTGCATAGGTTAACCTATAACATTAAAGGTTAACCCTATATGTACGATGTGTCTGCCGTGAAAATTTTTTTATACAATTATTATTTGTCAAAATCATAATTCAAACTTCAAAGAAAGACGCTACCAATCTACGGCACAAATCACTAGATATGGGCAAAAACTACTACCAACCGACTCTTATTTCGCCGATAGCAATCCTACCGAGAAAAACAGTTTGTACAACAGCGAATATCCTTTCATCTCTCTAAAAATATAAGACTTCTCAGAATAGACAGGCTCAAACTATTGAAAATTGTTTGGTGCCTCTATCCATTTTTATCACAGAACACTGATGACAGCTATCACAAGTACAGAAGCCACTTGGTCACTCGTTACGTTTTACGATTATACAGGCTGTTTCTGTAAGTCGTGGCATAAATTTAATCACTAAAACTAGAGACAAAATGATGACGATTCTGGTAAACATTTTTAACAAAATAATCTAGAGTTTGATTTTGTACTTTTAAACTGGTTTTTATTTTATATAGAATTTAAGTCAAACCAGTTTCGACCCTTGGCCATCTTCAGAGACTCTACAAATAGATTAACATCTGTCATCTTATCCACTTTACAAACTAAATTTTTTAATATTTCTTTTTGTTTTGTTAAAAAAGTTCACATATCAAAGTCGAAATCAGATTAATAGTTACTAATTTACAAAATTAAAGTTTAAAAAGTTGTAAAATGGAATTAAGGACGAAGGACAAAAGAAATATTAAGAAACTTGGAAAAAATTCAAGAAACATCACGTTGCTTAAAAATCGACGATTTTTGAGATCGATTCCTAAAAAAACACATTAAAAATAAAAAGAAAGTGCGGAAAAGTGACTAACACTAGATTAACTTCAGTTATAAAACTTCTATTATATGATAACTAAGTTCAGGTTTAAAATGTCAACCTCAATTTTGACATATTTGTAATCTTTATTAAAATCCTTTAAAATGAGTACAAACACGACATATTTATCTTCAATATTAATGAAGTTATGGTCAACTACTTAACTTCCGGTTAAGAATGTCAACGTCATTTTGA